TCTTTCGGCACAGTTGAATTCACTGCTGTGTGGGGTGGGGTGCGGTGCTGAGTATGTTCTATCCCACAAGTTACCATCACCAAATCACAGAAGAGGCAGAGCTAAAGTGTTGATATTTTGGGCTTAGATCTTCTGCAGTGGTGAATTTCGCCCTCAGACAACAGCTCCTCGGAGTACAAATGTACACAGTTTTGTAGGAAATTAACCCTTCACCAGTTCTCAGTTTTGGACCAGTTTCATTTCCTGTGCTAAATACAGACAAGGAAGGTCTTAATACTGAAAAATAAAAACCAATAGTAAGCAAAAAAGTTGCCTGAGCACTTTGAAAAAGACACTTTGGACAGGACATACATTACAAAATCAAATTTCCTTAATATATAAATTCTCTGTATCATGCATTAAAAACACAATTAAGATATATGAGTGCCAGAAATAACACAAACTTCAATTTCTTAATATGACCTATAGCTTATTTCATTTTATTATTTAATACTCCGAACTTAATAACCCCCAGATTGTATAACTTGGCTGAATTCCTAGTAACTCTGTGTGTAAACATTGCTCAAGTTCAAACAGAGTCTAATTTAAAAATGAGAGATTATCCATTAATAACAGTTTTTGCCCAGCACAATAGTGAACAATTCAGAACAATCACTATAAATCTGTCTTCTCCACATTTGAACTAATCTGAACTGAGCTCTATATTTGTGTGTTTTGGAAAACTGCTGTGTTTATCTGGTCTGAAACTTGATAAAATGTTTCACTCCCTTGTAACTTTCCTTAAGAAAGAAAAGGCCTGAGACATAAAACCTGGGTTTACTCAGATAAATTGTTTAGAACATTAAAGTCTGACTGAAAGTAAGGGAAGTTATACTGATTTAAACAACAGCCTATAACATGTGTGGCTAATCTACCATACAGTATATCATAATACCGTTTCTTATCACCATCTTTGACATGCTACTTTCAGCTTGCAAGTCGGAGAATGTTCCTATTTTTTTCAGCTTCATATAAGTCTACCAGGGTGACATACAGTGGTTACTGTCTTCTATAACTGTAAGAAAACTACTAATAGCAACATCATATTGATTCACTACATCCCTACAGCTTTTCACTTTTTCCAGTCCTCCCAGGAGCATGCAGTCATTTGAAAATGTTTAAGTGATTTACAGTGAAAGAAAAGTGCTTTAATGATGCTCCTCTGTTGAAATATGATGTTTTTCAGCCACCTACGGGTGCTTAAATAATCTGCAGTATTAAAGAAAAATGATTGTTTTTACACTGTATGCCTACAGCACAATTTTATCATCTTTAGAGCCTTTAACATTGGCTTGTGTGATCTTTATAGGTTGTGGCCTGCAGCACTCCAGAAGGTTTGACCAGGTGAATGGACCATTGACTAAATTAACCTTTTTTAAGATTTTCCCAATGGTCTATAACCTCAAGGGGCTTTGCAGGAACACTTTAGTCACATACACGGAGGGAATCTCCCTGCAGTGGAATGTGGCAGCAACTCTGTGCCAACAGTCTGACCATGGGAACACCCTGAAGGAAGATGAGTACAGGAAACATGCTTTCAGCCGAGAATCTGTGAGGGAAGGCCTGATTTCATGGCATGTATTGGGGATTCATTCAAGCCGCAGAGGTTAACAAAGCTGAAGTCTTGTAGCGATTTCATGGCGTCTTTAAGATTGGGAGGAATCCAGCTTCTCATCTGTGAGATAGTCGGTCTTTCTGCAGCACATTACCTTGACTCTCATGAACAGGCCAAGTCACTTCCTTGATTTCTGTGCTCTAAGAAGAGTTTTCCCTCCTTGTTCCTGAAAATATGGAGGCTTTTCACAGTCACCTTCCCAGTCAGAACACCACATGAATGCAACATTATACTTAATGTAGAGTCCAGGTAGATCCTACCAAAACATTTTTCACACTAATTACATTCCTTGAAATGGCAGTAGTGACATCCTCCTCTCTTTAAATTCTTTGAACCCACATCTGCAAAGCACTCTGAGAAGAAACAGGTTTTCAAGACTCGGGAGTCAAAAGCAAAACAGGTGGAAAGCCCTGATAAAGGTCATTGACATCATGAAATCCTCCCAGTCACTGATACTCACCACAGATCCATGTAGAAGAGCATCTGCTTCTTAGATCAAGAAACTAACGATGAACTGGCCAGCTGTTCTGAACAGGTTATAAAAACATGAACATGTTATAGAAAATGGATGGTGGTTGACACCATAATGCTTCCTACTATATACCTCAACAAGACAATGTGGGGAAGCAATAAAAAAGAAAACATGATGCCTGAGTTTACAGCAAAAGGTGTGGAATTTTAAACCAGGGAAGTTACAGTATGCTTAAGCTCTACAGTGCACTTGTAATACCTCGTTTAAATTAACTGTGTTCAGTTTTGTTCACCTCACCACAGAAAAACATATAGCTATAGAAAAAGTTCAAATAAGCGCAACGAATATGAATCTTGATCTTGGGGGACTGTCGTATTCCGGAGGGTTGAAAAACTAAATCTCTTCAGTCTACAACAGAGAGGAGACTGAGAGGAGATTTGATCTAGGTATCTAAAATACTAAGGGGTATAGATAGGATCAGCCTAAGGGGCTGTTTTACAACACAAGCACTGAAACAAGGACACCGGGTCACTGTGGAAACTGAAGGGCAATTCACTTAGGACCAAGAATAGGAAGCTCTTTTCTACTCAAAGAGAAGTGGACATTCAGAAAGGTGCCAAACTCTGGGTAAGAAAACGCTGGATGAAAGTTTAGATTCACTTAGATACTGAATGAGGAAGAGGAACTGAACAGCCTCCTCTTGTTTGTATACATTTTTCATGTTCTAAGACTGCTACAATCTGCTTCTTACTATCTCTTACAAGTTTATTTTATGTTTGCAATAGTGTAGAAATCAGAACAAAACTAGTATTGAGATCTAAGGACAGCAGTATCACTACAGTATATCCCTTGGCCAGCATTTTGCCTTTCTAATTGCCAAATCCTGCAATTAACAATGAGCAAAACTAGGATGGACAGCACTGTGGCTCAGTGATTAGCACTGCAGACCCGACCAGCTGGGGTCTCGGGCTCATTTCTGGAGCTGGGGTGCTATCTGTGTGAGGTTTGTATGTTCTCCCAGTGTTTGTGTGGTTTTCCTCTGGGTCCTCCGTTTTCCTCTCATAGCCTGAAAATATACTTGTAGATGAATAGGCGTCTGGGATTATGGACTGTGGATGTGTGCATGTCTGTGTGTGCTCTGTGATGGATTGGTGTCCCACCCAGGGTGTGCCCTGCCTTGTGCCCATTGCTTGCCTGGAGAGGCTCTGGCTCCCCTGCAACCCTGAATCAGATGAAGCAGTGAGATTAAACTAACATTTTCTCTCTTAAAAGTCTACTTTTGTTTCTGCATCATATCAAACAGCAAAGATACAGTATGATGCAAGACCAATACCCCATTCCTGTTACACAACCCTTGGTCTCTTAATATAGTTGTTCTTTTTTACGAAAACATGAAACATCACTACTGAGACAAACCCACTGTTAATTTCCTTCAAAACACAATGTAGTCTCCAGGGCAAATAATTTCCTAATTTAGTCATGTATTTATTTCTACAGTGTTGTTACAGTAGCAGTTTTGCTGCTATTCTTCTCCACACTTCTTTGGCTCCAGTAGATATTTCAGGCAGTTGTATGCTCCATTCCAATACTGATCTACTGACTCATCCCACACATTCCTTTAAGGGAGGAAACAAAAATTTCTCTTAATCAGAATGAGTGGTTTATATAAAACTCTCAATACTTCTGCACATACATTTCAGAATATTAACTTCATGGCAACAGCCATAAAACTAATTTTGAACAGGTAAACCTAAGGACGATATGTAAATTAGGAGTACAGACTCTTTAAATATTAAATGAACATAAGTTTTGACGTGTTATCCTTCTAAAGAAAAAAACATCCTAAATGTCATTCAACATTTTCTGCTTAGGTCTAGATCCGCACACTACTTAAAGTTCCCTAGATAGTCAAAAAAAACATTTTACCTAAAAACTCAAAAAGCTTAGCTTCTAATCCTGAACTCACCAGTGATACCACTGTGGTCTCCTAATAAACTGCAATTCTTTGTTCAGAAACATTCATTAAAATCACGTTATTTAACTTTCTGAACAGACAATTCCTATTAAAGTGGAGCAACAGGTTTCAAAATCTACTTTCCCATTCTTAAATGTCATACACTGTATTCCCATTGCTACTTAATTCCTATTCCAATGAGATTTTCCTTCCCCTCAACCTTAAAGTAACTCAGAAGGTACAATGAAGGTATTGAGGTGCCTCATCAGGGGTTCTGGAACATTGAAGAACTCAAAAGAAACAAAAGCTGAGTTTCTTTCTTTTTGATCAATGTCTTTCTTTCAACTCTGTAACATTCCCAACAAAGTAAAAGTAACTATGAAAAAGTAGGGGTTAAATGGTTAAGAATGTAAAAATATTTGAAATACCATAAAATACTTTTTTTGCACTTAATTGAATAACCCAGTATATACGATCACATTCCAATTAATGCATTTATTTCAGTCACAGAGACGTATAAAATTTCCCGAGACAAAAAAAGTCTAAAATATTTCTGTTCCCCTGAAACCCACAGTAATGTTCAATGGGATCACATGAGTAAAACCTTTTTTAACATCCATAGAATCCATAGAAATTATCCCACAATTTGTGTGTTATCCCAGGAAGTCTAACTGAATAAAATCAGTGGGTTTATCTCTACAGACAGCAATTCTCTGCACACAGAGTGATTGCTTGCCAAAACAACAAGTACGCTAACCCCCAGAGGTGATGCTCTTTAAACAGTGACTTCTTATTTCATTCCATTTCTAGCTTTGATAGTAGGCTTGGTATGAGCATCATAATTATATTTGCTTCAGACAGGCTTTCAAAATTTCCCATTGTAGTGAGTCAAAAACAAACATATATCAGTAATTACTGTAAACATGACGAAACAGCTTTTTTATTCTAAATTTGATATGTACAGGAAAAGCGGTCATATACTGCTCTTTATACATCATGTAAAAGTTTTATAAACCAATTGCACTGTGCTTATATTAGTTATCCTTTTCTCCTGTTTGAAACACCAGAGTATATAATTAATAAAGGCAATGACAGACTGGAAGTACACTGATAACATGTGCAGAGTTTTTTTTTTTTCTCCATGTATCATAAAAAAATAGCTCAATGACAAAACAAATGTTTCAAAAACACAAAGAGCGGAAGAAAAACAGATGAATGATGAATGGCGTGGTATGTGATTTAATTCCTTTCAACCGAAAAAAAAGTATGCTTCTTCACATCTGGTTTCTCAGGCACTTTAACCATTCCAAACCCAGCATACAGCACATGAAATAAGGAGGAAAAAAAACATGGCAGCAGCTGGTGGGACAGCATATTCTCAAAGTGCCAGATGCACGTTACAATATCAGAGCTGAGGCAATACAAAATACGAATTTTATTCCATTTGCAGTTAGAGGATGAGTCTCCCATTTCTGTCTGCTTTACATCCGTACAAAAAAATGCACCTCGTGCTGAGTAGATGAGTGGAGCTAGAAGACAATTACAGAATCTGGAAGTACCAAACACTTCTTTGATTAGACCAACTTGTTACAAAAAAAAAACAAAAAAAAAGTAGAGTACTTCTTAAAAAGGCCTATCTTCCCTTTAATGTGTTTAGTCCTACTCATTTCCTATTGCCAAGAAAAGTCCAAGTCTGTTATCTCTCTGCCAACATACATTTTCTAGACAGGGGAACACTCACGTTACAGACACAGTTTACTCAGGAGGATAAATCTATAATACAGCTATATCAGTTCGACATGATTATCTTTCTTCTCTCATTTGTTACAAATAATGGCAGCAAAACAAAAATCTTTTCAAAACGATTACAGATTGTATTTCAGGCCAAACAATCAAATGCCACTACACCGTGTTTTGTGGTATTCAGCTGTAGCGCAAGTGGTTTCAGATTAACCACCTTAATGAAAAATTCAGTAAAGACTGGCAGCAGCGTTTCACTGTGAGTCTGTAATCAAAGACAGTAATGTGCAAAGCAGAGAGGTCAGGCACAGAACATAGCTGTTTTCCAACACCACACTCCCCTCTCTGGAGATGACATACAAATTAATTTTTCATGAAAAACGTTAATTAACAACCCACATTGACCCCATTTATACAAATGCATACCCTCAAGGGCTAGTAAGTGAAAGGACATATAAAGGGTTAGTTTCATTATTATAAAACACCAAACCAAGCACAGGACAAAGTTAAAATGAGGACCGCATATCAAGCAAAGGAAATTTCCATGAGTGAAAACTGAACTGTTAGATCATTTCAAATCTGTGTTTTATAACAGTCCTTGGCTCAGCACCTTCTCAGTGGGTCAAGCACAGAACATCTTTAAGGCTGACATAGTCAGGGCTTCAATTACAGGACATGAAACTGGCATTGCAGCATCTTCTCAGATGCTTTTTTAGTTTTCATCAGGTCACTCACAGAAGGGAAACTCTATTGTAACATACCTAGGACACATACTGTACACAATGTCTGTGTTTCAATGACAGAACACATACACATCACTTGATACTGTATAGGACCCATAAAGTTGTTACTTCCCATTGGCTCATGAATAGACACGTATTTCTTGGTTCTCCTGTGATTGTCAGAGCTCGGAGGTGCTGCTCCTGAAACAGAAAACACTTTTCAACAGATGAGTGAGGACTTATTAAGGCCAGCAAGTCTCTTGACCACGAATACTGGAAGGCACTAAAAAACTGTGTGTATAGTTGCAAACAAAATCCCCACTCTTTGAGAAGTCTGTCGTCTGGAGGATGTGGGGACCCCAAAATAAAACAAAATATAGCAACTGCAAAATAAAAATAAAAACAAAGGCTTGAGCATTTTGTTCCAAGACAAAAAGTTTCCTTTTGTGGTACAGCCATTCCTCTCGCCGTCCCCTCAGGAGTAGAACGGTCGTCCCTTCTCTGGGGTCTGCAACCTGTTCAGCCGGGCGACCTGAGATGGGGATGGGGGGACGTCCTGTCTGTAGGGGCCTTTGGGTGGGGTGGGGGCGGGTTCCTTGTGGGGGGAGTACGAGTCATAGTTGTTGGGCACCTCCTGGGTTGGCGGCAGCTTCATCTTGGTCTCCTGCTCCTTGCGCCTCTGCTCCTGCCGGAGCAGCTCCTGCGTCTCGAGCAGCACGCGGGCGTTGAGGCCAATCACTCCCATGTAGCCGTTGCGCGAGCCTTGGTAGCTGGAGTAGCGGGGACTCTCCTTGGCGCTCTGGAACCCTTCTCCCGGTGGGCAGACCTTGTCCCACGAGTCTTGCGACACAGAGCTCGGGTTCTTTCGGCTCTGTCTGGAGAAACAAATGGGCCGTGAAGGTTTTTGCAGTGCATCCAAATAAATAAAAAAAAAACAAGGAACCACAGAACAAGCCGTGTCAAAACTAAAATGCACAACAAACACAAATGGTAATCTCGCAGACGACTGGCAAGATTTACTCATTTTTATGAAAGGCAACCATGTTGTCATGATTTGCTGACTTGACATCCAGTTACTGCGGCAGTTCTTTTGTTTTAATTAGTCGGATAATGAGAAATGGTCTCAAATCAAAGACCTAATTGTCTTTTTTCACAGACTTGTCACAAGTTAATACGTGTGGAGGAAAGGGTATCCAAGATAAATGCCATCCTTGCATTTACTGTATGTGAAGACAGACAACAGACAACACATCAATGAATACATACAGCTCCAAATGTTGAATTTCACCAGAGACAAGATGGACTGAAAAAACACTCACTTATTTCAACTGACAAGACCAATAGTTTCATAAAGGCCGCATTCATTCACAGATGATGCCATAGTTTCACAGAGTATTGATTTAAATGCAAAGGTTCAACAAATCTGAAGGCTCTTTTTTGTTTCTGTGGCACTATAAATTTATAAATTGTTAAAACTAAAAAAAAAACAACACAGACAATTCATGTTTTATTCTGCTGTGTTCAGCACAAGGAATTCAGTTTAATAAGAACTACCTCATTCATAAAGGAACATCTTTCATTTAAGCAGCTTCATTCTGTCCTTCCTTAAGCTGACTTACTTAAGGACTCAAACATGTTATGCTGTGGTTGGCTTGAAGTACTAAACATAAAAAACGAATATAAAAATACATTTTTTCTGCAGTAAAAAAAAAGCACAGTGACACGTGATTATTTTTGTCTGGTCCAAAGTCGGTTTTTAAATACCACAAGAAGCTGTAGACCACCAAGCAGTGAATCTGAGCTAATTCTGTATTGTTGAAGAACAATTAGAGTAGATGCATTCCCATCTTTGTTATCCCTGATAAATGCAAATTAAATATATTACATGATATGAATTAGGCCTACACATATTGAGAAAATGAAAAGGGTAACAAAAACCACATGGAGATTTCCAGTCTTGTGAGACTGAGCAAATCTTTGTACAGAAATCAAAGTAATGGCAGATGTTGAAACAGACTGTTGAAGAAATCCTGCCACATGCTTCACAGAGCTAGGAATGCTTGCTCAAAAGATTTTAAAGGTGTTTAAAAATGGTCTAGAGAAGATAGCAATGATTAAAGATATATTTTGTGACATTGAGCTAAAAGCCAAAATAAGAGTCAAATATTAATTTACACTTTCCTGCTTTAAAATGCAATTAGTCAAGTAGCACCATTAATGGATCACTTAACAGATTTATATAAAGAAATCCAAAAACCGTAATCACCATCCCACTAATTGTATTTTGGTCACATCAATAATAAGTGAACTTGAAAATGGCAGCATGTAAATGACAAATCCATGAAACCCAAGACATTCTCAACTGCCAAGTTTCTTTTTAAATTCAAACCAGATGGAGCTGCTCAGGCCTTTAAATGTACTATGGCTAATAAACACACGTACGTATCAGCTGAACCTCAGCGGTCATTGTCCTGTTAACTGGAGAATGTTTGCTTTGTCCGGTTTACAGGGCAATGGAAAGTATTTGCTCACTTTCTTGAATAACCCGATTTGTGTGAAAAGGAGGGAAGGCAGAATGTGTAAACAGGATATTTTTAGTTTTTCACAATGTTACTCTCTCTACAGTTAACAAATTCAAATGTACTGTAGTCAACTGTAGAACTTTGTAAAGGGAATACGGAGAATGTCAAATGCTTCTGTAGACTGTTTTAGAACATTCTGGCTGAAAAGCACACATCCCTGTCTTTCTAAAGAACTATGCGGGTTTCAAAGGTCAGTCTGACACACATCTGCAGCAGAACACTGTATAGGAGCACCTGCAGAGAATCAAAGCCCATTGAAATTTCTTTAAAATAGGGAGCATTCAAAGAAAGACTTTAGTAATGTTTTCCTTTTCGGTCCACTGTAAATGTTTTTTCCACATTCCAGCTTTTTCCTCATGTTCTGTATGAAAAAGGATTTTCCACAGGTTTTTCAAATGACCCGCATTCTGCCATGTGCAAAATGATAACTAGTTATCCTGCTTTCATGACAGAAAAGTTAATTCATCCTGACTACTAAATCATGCTTCTATAATGAAATACTTCTGACGAGAATTTCTAACTTCAGGAATTCATTTTTTAACTTCTGTAACTAAAAAGGAAACTCCCCTCATAAATATCTATTAATTTTGGCTTGTTTAATTTGACCTCAGTCAAAAACGGTATGAGATTATGCAAAGAATTCATATCAGAACAAAAGTTCATGATACAACATCTTTGAGCTACATATAAATGTGCAAGGCTAGAGGCATTTTCTTTTTAGTTTTAGCTACAATATGACACTTAAAGTTAGCATATATATTTTTTTCCATTACTCAAAAATTATGTCTTACAAGGAACTTCTGGATTGGTAAATTCAAGTCCTTAACTTTGTTAAAACTGAGTGGGAATCAATACCTGAGACATTCCACTTCCATGGCAGATGTGCTGTTAGTGTACTTAGAAGAGCCAAGTCTCCATGAGGCAAACCAGTGACAGGCTGATGACTAAACTGGCACAGTTTAAGCAAAAATTGTCCAGGGATCAACTACAGCTGTATGATCACTATAGGCGATAATAGCAAAGTATTGCATCAGTTGCTCTTTGTTCCCTGTTGTGAGACAACGACAATGAGACAAAGAAGTTCCCCCGAATAATCCCCCCTAATAATCTTGTGTAATGTGTGAGGAGGTACTGCTGGGATTCGACCATGGCTGCACATTCACACTATGCCACTCCCCAGGCAGTAGAGAATTCCAAAGTGGAAAAGACTGGGTCCCCTGCTGCAGCAACATTCCGCGTTATCCAGGTTCCAAGGGGATTACATCACTATAATAGGCTCAAATGAGCCCTGATACACTTACATTGTGCAGAAAACGATAGAAAATTGATTGCAGCTGTTAACCAGCAGGAGTCAGGATCATAGGAAATGTGCTTGAGAATTACAGACTTTTAAAGTGGAAGGGGTGTGTGACATCACCTGCATCTCCACAGCACATACTGTAGCAAAAAATCCACATTAACAAAACTAGATGTTTGTTTGTTCTGGATGTACAAGTATTGACAAGCATTTTGATTAATTCTCTTTCGAAGATCTTTAATGTTCAAATGTTACAGTTGCTTTGTTAAAATGTATTACTCCTTTTCCACAGTTTCTGCCAGATGTGCTTGGCAGATTAGAAACTCTTCCAGACACAGTTGGCTACTCCTTCCTCTTTTTCTTGACTTGCACAGTGGGAGTTTGAGCCTTCGTGTGGGGAACAGAGTAACAGCTCCCCACAAGAACATCCTGATGTCATCTCCTTTTACTGTATGTCCATTATCTCCTACCCAGGTAACACATGCCTTTGCAATGATGGGATCAAGCGGAGACCTAAATGCCTTCACCCACCTATGACTACCTCAGCAAAACACTGCTTAGGTTTAAAATATGTGCTTATTTTGCAATTGAGTATTACAAAATGGAGCTCTGTATGCAAATACACAAACATGTCACTGGATCCAAAAGATGTGAAAGATCATATACAAACAAGGACATTCACATTTTATAGTAGGAAGGGTGTATAAGCTAGACCAGTGGTTCTCAAACTTTTTGCACGAAGTACCACCCCTAATCCAACCAAAGCATCTAAGTATCACCTACAAGTCATCATCTCATAGGAACCCCAGAAATTCTCAATGACCAACATGAGCGCTTGTGCACACACACTCACACATACATATAATAAATATTATAATAATAAACTTTGTTTGATATATTAAAATGTGGCTTCTCAAAGTGTTACAACAACAAATAAAAATAAAAAAGCACCATTTCAGTGAGAGGGGTGAGGCTGTTTAGTCGAGCAAAGCAGATGTGAATTTTTCGAGCCGTGATACAATTCACAACAGTCTTAACATATTTTAAGTCGTCAGGCATTTTCTTGACGGCAAAGGTCTCGCGGTGGATGTTGCAATGAAACCATAAATTTCTGGAGCAACCTCTCTAATTCGTGCAACTACACCGCTGTGTCGGCTTGCCATTACTCTAGCACCGTCTGTACAAACTCCGACACATTTTATCCAGTTGATGCCATTCTCTTCGATAAATTAATTCAGAAGCTGAA